GCTGGACCGGAAGCTCCGAAGCATGCGCGCCAGCTCCTCCAAGCGTTGGAAGCAACTTCTTGGCTTCTGTGCTGCTTCGGCTGCTTGGCTTCTTGGCTTCTTGCCTTCTTTGTTTTAGCTGGGTGTGGTTGCCTGTTTGCACGTTTGCTTGGTGTGCTTGATTGTGTGTGTTCTGTGTTTGCGTTTGTGCTTGTATTTGTGTTTGTGTTTGTGCTTGTCTGTTTTGTTCATGGCATTGTTTGTTGTGTGCTTGTTGTGTTGTATGCGGTTTGTTTGTGCTGTGTGTCGCTCTTGTTGTGTTGTTTTTGCTCTCTGGCCCACATTGGGACGTTAGGGGGTGTCAGCCTCTAAAGGTCGCCTTGCCAAATTGGGCGCGGATCTCGGGATCCGTCGGAGGTTGCATCGAAGCACTGAAAGTCCGATCTTCGATCCCCGCTGGGTCTCGCTGGGCCACCCTCCCAACCTGGAACACAGGTGCCTGGAGAAGAAATCCTCTGAAAACGACCTGAAGTCAGGCTCCATGTGGGTGAGCTACTTGTCCTTGAAGGGGGACCTTTGAAGAGGAGGGAGGGAAACTACAGCAAGGCCCCACCAATTTGGAGTGCAGTGGCTCATGCATGTCCCAACCTCACGGCGAGCACCATCTACATATCGAAAGCCAAACCAGGTCATGAAAAAAAAAGCAAAAAATAAAATCACCCTTGTTTCTCGATGGCTGTTGCCCCCACTGCAAAACCGCTCAACTTTGTTGCGGGTCAATCAGTTAGTGGGGGGGCCAACAGGAAAGAGGTTTAAAATTTGAGTGATTAATGATTAGAGGTCAGGTTTTAGCTGCGCCCACCAAAAAAACCAGCCTACAACCCCCGCTGGCGCCCCTTTTCGGCCGCGCCTGGAAGGCGGACATCACCCGAAAGATGCGAAAGGCCTTTGAGACCTTCCAGGGGTCTTGTGTTTCTTTGGTCGCTTTTTTCCGTTGCTTGTTTCTCTCCCCCGAAACTTCCGAAAGGATACATCCAGGAACCAGCCACTTTCCTCTTAATCAGCTGGTACTGGTGAACTGCTGCCAGGCCCACATGCATCCTTTAGGGGACTTCCACAGTGGGACTCCACCAAAGGCCGTGGCTCCTGGACACCTCGGGTTGAGTGCCTTTCCCATGCACGACAAGAAGTTTGGTCCCTAGGGCAAAGCTTGAGGAAAGCATTCACCAGTCTTCCACAAGCTTTTTTGATCGTCTGTCAAAGGCTCAAGAACGCCTGAAGAAAAACCACCCCTGCCGTGGGAGGGTGAACACTCCTTCAACTGGAGTGCCCCAAAGACCGTGTAAGGCTAGATGACTGGCTCTGGCAATGCCCATCTCCGCCATTGTGATTTCGTCATTTGGTAGAAGCTCACAGAGATCCAGTTCAAGCCACTGGGTTCTTTCAAGTCTGGCACGCGCCTTGCACGCCCGCAGCGATCTCCTCAGAAGTGCGGGACGGGCCACGCCCCAGGGCGAATCCCACGGATTCGTGTGGATGAAACGCAAACCGGCAAACACAAACAGAGGCCAGCTGCAACGACTCGAGTGCCATGGTCACAACTTGTCCTTTTCTAAGGATTTGTCTATTACACCCTGGGATTACGCCCTAGAGAAACTACCGAAAATGACTCTACATACACAAAAACAATCAGGTTTTATCTGGAAATAGCCTAGAATAGGGTGATTCCCCAGAGGGCGTAATCCCAGGGTGTAGTAGACCTTGGATCCTCCCATGAGCATAGTGGAAACAAACAAGGTTTTACCCATACTGTGCCATGTGCCCCACAGTTCCACTGCGCACTGCCAGGCGATTAATTTCCCCGAAGAACAGCTCCAGGGATTGGGTCCACCTTACGGCTGGCCCCAAAAATGGGATGGAATTCTGCACGCCAGTTCCGCGCCAGAGGGCATGTACAGGAAGGAGCTTTCATTCCCGGCCGCGTCCAAGGCGAGCTCCAGCATGCTGAGCAAAACCAGCCCGAAGTCTAGCCAATTCCTTGCGGCTTGGATGCGGCCGGTTTCTTCCCCGTGGCTTGAAGCCATCCTTCATCTGGCCTCACATTATTTTACCATGATGAAAGTCACCTTTTAAGTGACAACCCCATTTTCTGACTTTGACAACCCCTAGCAACAATCAAAATAATGACCCCAGTTCATGACACGGCGGTTTGTAACAGAAGTGAGTCGAGACAATGACTTGCCGCCGCCCGCAGACCCCCAAGTGATTCACGTAACACCTCCCTCCGGCGGGGTCCAGCCAGCGCTGTCGTTCACGAAGAAGTACCAGCGGTGGCACATCAACCGAAGCACAATCTCCACCATGTAGACAGCCTCAAGCCAAGTTAGGAGGGTGCGGTTGACAGTGGCAACGGAGTTCGAGCAATCCTTTGACCATGGACCGTCGGTGAAACCCAGCAAGAGACATGGTGATGATCATCATGATGATCCTGATGGATGATGATGATGATGATGATGATGATGATGATGATGATGATGATGATGATGATGATGATGATAACGATAACGATGACGATGATGACGATGATGATGACGGTGACGATGACGATGATGATGATCCTGATGATGATGATGATGATGATGATGATGATGATGACGATGACGACGATGATGATGATGATGATGATGACGATGACGATGACAATGATGATGATCATGATGATGACGATGACGATCGGACGATGATGATGATGATGCTGATGATGCTGATGAGGCTGATGAGGCTGATGACGATGATGATGATGACGATGACGATGATGATGATCATGATGATGCTGATGATGCTGATGAGGCTGATGACGATGATGATGATGACGATGACGATGATGATGATGATGCTGATGCTGCTGATGAGGCTGATGACGATGATGATGATGATGATGACGATGATGACGATGATGATGATGATGAGTGATGATGACGATGATGATGATGATGATGATGATGATGCTGATGAGGCTGATGACGATGATGAAGATGATGATGATGACGATGATGATGATGATCATGATGATGACGATGACGATGATGATGATCATGATGATGACGATGAGTGATGATGATGAGGCTGATGACGATGATGAGGATGTGATGATGATGATGATGACGATGATGACGATGATGATGATGATGACGATGATGACGATGATGATGATGATGACGATGATGACGATGATGATGATGATGAGATGATGATGAGGCTGATGACGATGATGATGATGATGATGATGATGATGATGATATGCTTGCCTTCGGCGGGAGCAAAAATGGCGGGTGACGTTCCCTCGACAGCTCACCATAGCGAACCTCAAGAGCTTCCCGACGACTGTGTAGGTTGCAAAATTCGGAAACACCCTGCGGGGTGCCAGACCCTCTCTCCAATCCTCTTGTTGCTCGCCCTCTCAGCTGCAGACCCATACATCTCCAGACATCAGGCAGGCGAACTTTGAGGCACCCCGGAGAGAAGAATGTCAGAGATCATGAGGCCGTTGGACGGACAAAAACTGTTCAGCTTCTGGCACCTCCCAACGCATAAACAAAGGGCCTGATGCGGAGCCCCATGATTAACAAACCCCAGTGCGAATCAGAGGGTCCTTGTTTCATTAAAGGAGTCCAAAAACTCAAAAAGGACCCCGAATAAATATGTGGGGTACTCTCAGGGGCCAATACTAACAGAGAAGGTCCCCACCCCAAACCCTAAACCCGCCAGCTGAATCTTAGCTGATCTTGCATTCGCTTCACCTTTACCGTAGAAACTGCCAAAGACGACGTGGGAATTGCACCCATCCGCTTCACAAGTCTCTCGGGAGAACGCCACTGGATCCCACCTTTCGTGAAGAGAATCTCTCAAGAGAATGGACCTGGAGGGCATGGCACGACGGGTGGCCTGGTAGCCAAGTTTTGTTGGCCAGCGCCAAACCACCACCAAATCACCATACACTGGCCGCGGCCATGCCCCAATCACCTGATTCACCTGATGTGAATGGTTTGGAATTTAAAAAAATGACTGGGCCATCCAGTTGCCTGTGAATGGTTTGGCATAGAAAGCAAAGACAGCACCCGAACTTCCGTGACAACTCCATGCAGTGCGTCCACCGAGCAGCCAAGCAGAAATACTCCACCGACTGGAACACTGGTGGGGCGCCTCCTGGCATGAGCCGTTTTTGCTTTTTTCCCCTTTTTTTCCGGCCCTCGGGCTTTTGTGTTGGGCCTAAACAAGCCCAAAAGAATATCTGCGACCCCTTCCCCAACCCAACTCAACAGGTTTGCTGGTTTCAACCAGCCTCAAAACGGACACCAACTCCAAAAGCCACACACCGATGGCGCGTTTGTAGCCGGCCGCGCCTTGAGGATCTTCCAAGTTTGCGTCCTTGGCGCCCCTTTTGTGCCCAAGGGCTACTTTCTCTGTGGCCTTGCCCTAACGGTGAGATAAATAAAATGGGGGAGGGGGCGGGGGGTGGGGGGTGGGGGGGGCAAGTGCTTGGCCAAAAAAACTGCTTCTTGGTGGAACTCTTCTCGTCGATCATCTGTGGAACCCACCAGGCAAAAAGGGACTTGCAGGGTCCTGCCACTGAACTGAGGAGTTTGCCGAGTTGCCGTCATCATCGTGATCGAGACAGCATTCCCAACGATCACCAGCCAAATGAAGCACCTGAGCGTGTGAATGGGCGAGGGGTGGAGGTATTCTTTTGGTGGGGGAACGGGGAATCATGTGTTACCACAAGGCCTTTCATGATTTCAAGTGAGGCATGGGGACGTGTTGTTCTCTGGAGGCTTTGAAAAGAGGAGGCCCAAATAGGCCAAGAGGCTTCCTAAACCAAGGAGACCCGCTGAAAGAGTTGGTCTCATGTTGGGCTCCTCGCTACAGCTGTCATTTGCTACATGGTTGCATGGTCGGGTGTTCCCACCTCGTTTTCCAACCCTGCATCCGCTTGGACTTGGTTACCTCGTGTTCCAACGCCGCATGCGGTTGTGATCTCAACCACGCCACCTGTATGTCATGGCACTACCTCGTTTTGCGGGTGTTCCTAGCTTGTCTTGCACCTTTTAGTTTGCATTGTGTGGACTGTACATCTGTACATCTACGCAAGCTTCGCCTGCACAACTGGGCTTTTGAATGTGAGGTCTGTCACCTCGCAGGTGATTGTGTACGATGGGCGTTCGGCCCATTCAAGACGAAAGGAGCATCGTGACGCTCAGCGTGTGAGTCAATTCTATGCGAGACCCATTTGGCCAGTTTGAAGACCAATGACTCGGCCTCCGTTAGTACTTGGGCACCTCTTCCGTTCTCACTAGCCTTCTCGCCTGCTCATAAGCTGCGCTCAGATCCGGTGCGTCCACAACGCATTGGTCGAACAGCGCTGTATTAATCATGCTGCTGCTGCATGTCTTCCAGGAGCCTCGAGGCACGTCGCCGGAAGGCGCATCATCTTGCTGCTTGCTCACGGGGTATCCCTGCTTGGGCTCCTGTGCTGCACAGAGCTCCTCCCATGTGTCGCAGCTACAGTCGGACATCCGGCGCCTCACCGGGTACTCACAGAACCGACGTATCATTACCGTGAAGTCCAGATCTGTGCTGATGAAGCCAACCCTTGCACTCACACCGCCGTCGCCGCCCGCAAGGTCGAAGTCCGCATGGAGGTCGAACAAGGCCAGCGGCACCTTCTCGGTCTTATTCTCAAACAACATCCCTTCCCAGTCCTCGCTGGGCAACTTCTTGACAAAGTGCCAGCCAAGCAAGCCCAAATCGCAGAGGAAGCTCATCTTTGGCGTCACTTGAGGCTGAGTCAGCTCCACCATCACCTTGTGGATGAGCTTTGGTGGCAAATTGATTGTGCGTGATCCCCACTCGAGAGTGTGGAAGAGGTTGCACGCCTCAACAGCTTGCACCGGGCCCTGCCTCACGTGCACACACGGCCCCGGCTCCTCACGCTGCTCATCTTGCGCCTTGGAACGGAGAAACATCGAGTAATCACTGGCCGTGACCTGGAAGTCCCGGAGCCTCTCGAGGCCAAAGGTGAGGCAGCGGCACAGGTCCTGGTCGGCCAGCATCAGGGCCTCGAGCGTCACCAGCGCGAGGCGTTTCCCGATCCACAGGTCCCTGAACTCCGGCGCCAGGCAGCGCGGCGGCTGGTGACCCCGCCGGCAGCGCGCGGCTTGCAGGCCCTCGGGCGCGGGGAGGTAGCCCAAAGTCCGGGCCCAAATGCCCGGAGGCAAACGAAAAGGGGTTGCCATTGCGGCACGGGTTTGTCTTGAGACCTGAGAACAGAAAGAAAAACAGCGTGCGCTTCTCACAGAATCCGTTGCTTTAGATGGCCATATGGATGTACGCGCGCGCATGTTTTCCAGGTACCCTTTCTAAGGTCGGTTTCGATAGAAGACCATTTCAGGAAACGGAAGCCACTTTAAGGGCCCCCCTATATAGGCTTTCTTTCTTTTTCGCGGGCGCCCATTTATAGAAGGAAACCACCCAAAATGGGGGTCTCCATTCACCCACATCCCACACGGGCAAATGGGCTGATCGCGGACGCCGGGACCCCCTTCTCCCTTTACGCCACGAGTTGGACCCTCGAAAAATCTGAGTCTGGCGCCTGAACAGCCGAGACTTCAGCAAGTTGAAGATGAAGCCGGACCTCCGAAGGCCCGAAGGCCCGAAGGCAGGGCTTGGTGGGGTATTTGGGCTGGCGGTGGCCTGGTGGGTTGACGGAGTTGTAGATTTGGATTCGTAAGTTGGTAGGCTCGGGAGAGTTCCTGAGTTGGTGAGTTCATGAGTTGGTGAGTTGATGAGTTGGCAGGTTGATGGCTGAAAATGGACGCTATGGGACCCAAGAAAGATGCGATCATAGCGGCAAAGTCCCATTCCAGACAACCAGAAGTGGCAAATCAAATTAAAGAAGCCTGTGCGAAGGGGATGTGGTGCCCATTTGGCAACAAAGTGTCTCAAACTCCTTTTCGAATTTCAGGGTTGAATTTACAAATCGTCTTGTGGCAACTGACCTCACCTAAACAAAGACAACTGGAAAAAAAAAACAGTCTGAGAGCTTTCCGGAGACTTCCACGGAAAGAGATTCCGTGCCAATCTTGGCTCGCGACCATCTGCCCCCCTTTTTCTAGCTGGCCCCGCACATGAGCTCCCATACAGCCCGCCAATTGCAATTGCTTCATAGCAAATTCCCACCGTCTTGACTTGAGCCGCGATGTTGGTTCTCGATTGCCTAACAGGACTTGATTGTCTCCTGGTTTTGTGCGGAAAACAAAGAAAGAATGTTGTTCCCACGTCCTGCCCAACTATAGATTACATTTGGTAGGTGTCCTTTTCGCATACGCTGCAGGCACACTTGTCACTTGTCAGGTGAATGAACTCAGTTGCTCAAACGGTGTGTTTCTTTCTTTGTTGGTTGGGTTCTACCGACTGGGCTTCAGCTTCTGCAAAACGATCATTGTGTACCGGTCTGCTCGGCCCAGCGGGATCTGGAAGCCGAGGTCTTATTCACAAGTGTATGGTGCATATGCATGCGTATGCCTACAGACCGGTGAACCGCAAAAAAAAGGCAAACGTCGCACGAAGTAAACCGTTTCAGTGTGTCCCAAAAGGAAACAAACGGGGCTGTTCGCAGGCCTCTTGTTTGTTTTTTTGTTGGCTTGCTTCCGGCCAAAGAGCGAAAGAGCGAAAGGGAATGCCGATGATCCCGGTGCCCCCGTGGACACCATGGGGTATGCTATTTTTGGCTTTGGGGTGGGCCGGGTTCGGCCTGCAGAATGGGCGAATGTGTCACAATAAGCCCCACACGAAACACGCGCCTGGGCGGCTCCTCCGGAGTTCGCAACACGCGGCTTTGACCAATCAGAGTTCAAGCTAGGTTTTTGGTGTGTCTGGTTTTTGGGAGGGCCCAAAAATATGTGCTTTTCCCGCTTGGGGTCCCTTGAAAACCAATCAGAATGGGGCTCCCTTAAAACAGACACATCAATTTGCCTGGTTTCCTTGCTTGAGGCTTCAGGTTCCCTGTTGAAGGTTGAGGAGGAAATTCAAAGGGAAAATGCCCATCTTGGGGGTGCCTGTTTAGACACAGACACACACCCGTAGGCTAGTAGGTAACCCAAAAAATGTCCATCAGCAGGTTGACCATCCAGTTCCCTCGACAGGCAAGCCAAGGGACACTTGAAAAAGTGTTCAGCTCCAAATGGCTGGCTACCTCCTCCAGTGCTAGTTGGGCTGGGATCCGTTGGGAAAGACTTCCGCACTGCGATGTGCAAAGGGAAGGAATTTGGGGGAGAGCCTGGCCTGACCAGGGAAGACAAAGGAGGTTGGTTTAGCAACAGTTGTTCATTGCCCTGAAATGCGCATGCATCTTTGGTAGCTTGGTTTTTTTTTGGCGCGCACTCTGTTGTTACTCGTTTAGTATCCTGGAGTGAGATCCTTATTTCGCCACATCCGACCCTGAAAACAGAAGTTGAGTCACCTGTCCAAAAGACATTGAAACAAGCGGTGAATCTTGGAACCTGAAAATGGACCAACCAGGAAAATCCACAAGCTCAGAGATCCTTTTTGGATTCGCCCTCTCCGACCCATCCGATTCTCCTCCAGCAAGGCCCACCACTCCGAGATCCGCAGGACACATCGGCTGAGCCAGCCCTCCGCATCGAAACAGCTGAGAAGCAGCTGGGTCCTCTGGATTTTGGCTTCGGTTTTGGCTGAAGGGGGCCCAAAGTCTCATGCCACATTCTTGCCCCCAACCAGCTGTCCAAACCCAGAAATGACCCCATACATGTTGGTTGTTGGGGAGAAAGGGAACCAGCGGACAAGCGAGATTGGAAAACCGAAGAAAGTTTGTTCTTTATCAATGGCTTTGGCGGTCTTTGGCAGGATCCAGGAGCAGGTTTGGCCTATGGGCTTATGCCATATGCATTCCCAATTGGATTGCGTAGATTCACCCCAAGAGGCCCAGCCATTGACGCTCAAGGTCATGCTTCAAATTCCTTCAACGGAAATATCCAAACCTCCGGCTTCCTGTGACACCTGTGGCCCGAAAAAGCGGAGCCCCCGGTTTTTGAAGCGCCCGCCGAGCGGCGAGTCTGGCGCATGCTCCGCGCACAAGGCTCCGGTCCAGGTGGGGACCAATGAATCCAAGGGCCTGGCGAGCCGAGCGCACGGGCTTCCAAGAACCCCTTGCGTTGCGTCGCCTTGGGCTGAAAATATGGCCGTGCGTACTTAAATCTATGAGGGCTTGGAAAGGTTTATCTACTTCTTGAAACTTCTTTCTCAGAAATGCGCACACCACGAGAAGCCGATTTGTAGACATGTGTACGGGCATTCCATGTTGCAGATGCAAACCGCACGCTCGTTGACCACCCCTGCTCAAATGGGGATCCAATGGCCCCAAAGTCGAACAGTAGGGAAATGAAGCATATGAGTCCCGCATTCCAAAACGGGGCGGTGGCTTCCTCTCAGGTGCCCTTACCCTCAAAAGAGAGTTCCCAGTAAAACAACATTCCCGGAGGTATGCTTCATCCATCTACAAACGAAACGACAAACCCATGTTATGCAGCTAAACTCGGAGAAAGAATGAGCCACTTGGCCCTCTCAGATACAACTTGAAGGAATAACCGTGGAAAATAATGTTCCTGTACGATCCTTCCCTTTGTATAAACTCGCTGGCCTTGTTAATCCGGAGTCGCCATGATGAGAAATCCTCTGTTTCCCTTCCTGCCACAATCATAGCGGTGGGAGAGTGTCTGGAAAGCTGTTTTCCCCTCCCCCCCCCACCCTCCCTCGCCCTGTTTGAGCCAACCAGGATTCACCCTGTGTTCCAATTACAGTGACACCTGCATGACAGTTCATTCAGTGCAAAGGCAGCTTCCTTTGTAGCGGGACTTCTCCGCCGCATTTGCCCAAATACTTGGGCAGTCCTCAGGCTCCAAGCTGCACTTTTTGTGGGCACCCGCACTACCAACCAAAAGGCTACGAAGCCTTTTGGAACCGGATGGCCGGCAGATCTGCGCAGGGAGGAGGGAAAAAAAGGCGGCCCTAGCTTGAACGCCTCACAGCGTGAAAGGCGCGAGCGCCTGGTCCTGGCCGGCGCCGAGAGGACCGAGAGGAACTTGGGCTGCTCGTCCTCCTTGGCCGCCTGATCGAGATTCAGGCCCAACCCCCTTGTTGTGTTTTTCTTTGTTTTTCTTAGTGATTCTAGGGGTTGCCGTTTTTTTAGAAAGAAGGATCCCTGGAAAGAATGGGGAAGTTACCCCTAGAATGATTCCGGGAGAACCCGATCCAGTGGCCCAGGAGGCATTTCAGGCGACCCTCTTCGGGATAAAACGCGCTCGGAAATTTCTGCCGGAAAGCTCTGGAAGCTCTGATTTCTGCGGAAAGCTCCTTCCTTCGCTCGTGGCCCTCTAAAATAGAGCTTGTTGTTGTTTGGATTCCCAAGTTGATTGCACGCTAACACTGGCGGAGATATGAAGCATGTCAGTTGCGCTGCTTTTCGCGCCTTGCTTTGGGCCTGATGTTTGCCTAGAGACATTCAACCCAGCCCCCACCCTCCCACCCAAAGCGCGCCTCCCGCTCGCTGACGGACTGCAGCAAGCGACGCTGCTCTCGTTCAAGGAGCTCGCAGCGAGCAGTCAGTCTACTCACGTCAGCCTCATACCTGGCGCGATCCAAGATGTGAAGCCGGTGAGGTGCAGGGGACTGGGAAAATGAGCTTCTGTCCTCCCTCGTTGCAAGAAAATGAACGAGCCCACCCATAGACCGAGCAAAATCACCGAACCTCGAATCCTCGGAAGTCGACTGGTGTGACCTTCCATGGGCTGGCCGAGGATCAACTCAAAGAGTCCACATGAACTCCAGCGACAGCTCGAAACTTTGCTGAAGAAAGGCTTGCCTTGCATGCCCCAACCCCCCGCCCCCCCCCCAAAAAAAAAAAAACACAGACACACAGACACACACAGACACACACAGACACACACAGACACACACAGACACACACAGACACACACAGACACACACAGACACACACAGACACACACACAGACACACACACAGACACACACAGACACACACAGACACACACAGACACACACAGACACACACAGACACACACAGACACACACAGACACACACAGACACACACAGACACACACAGACACACACAGACACACACAGACACACACAGACACACACAGACACACACAGACACACACAGACACACACAGACACACACAGACACACAGACACACACACAGACACACACACAGACACAGACAC